ATCGCGTTAGCTATGTCGACAGTATCGTTTTTCAAAAAAAAGTCCGGAAATATGAACAGGGTTTATGAAGTTCCTGTATTTCCTTCTGATCAATCTGCTCCTGTCACGTAATTTCTTTAGTTTCAGCAGAAAGTTTTTTATGCTGCATAAGCGGGATGTATCACGAAGGAAAGGGCATGCGTAAAAGGTTCTTAGAAGGAAGTGTCCAACAGTTGGGATCCCATTCTCAATTGTCCCGTGTTCTGAATCTCAATTTGCAGTTGCAAGGACATCCGGATACATAATGAACCTACATTTGTAAGGGTTGCGGTTACCGCTGATTTTATGTGCCATCAGAAAAAAAGCACACAGTCTGGAAGGCCCACTAGGCTTTGCCACTGCCCTAATTTGTCAAGAAGCCGACTTTTCCTTTCCACCTATTTATTATGACACAATCAGCTCGACCCTTCTTGGGGCCGGAACGCATACCTTTTCCTGTATACCTACGCTTTATGGCATCTTCCAAACGTTTTCATATTTGACTAGTTCCCTTGGGGTGAATGGCGGCTTCATAGGCAACCGCTCAGTACAGTACTAATACTCAGTATAGGAGCGGCGATGGGTATCACAATATCTATTGCAGAACTGAAGGCCTACCCCCCTATGATGGTGAGCGATCATCTTTTCCCATTAACAAGTGCCTTTGTGAGCTCATGGACATGCAGGTGGAAGGCATTGGCAACAACAAAAGTATTTTATGAATTATTCAACAACATTTGATTGAATTAGAGTTAAACCAAAGCCTTCTGCTCGTTCGGTTGAAATGCCTTTTTGCCGAGAACAACAAAGAAAACCGTTCGATGGGCTTGTTTGCCAGGCTAAACAATCACCTGGAAAAGAATGAACGTGTCGACATGCTGGAGAAAGCTTATTGCTAACAACTGAAAAGGGTGATATAAAGTGGAGGGCTTGGTAAATGAATGAGGGCAACGCAGAAGAGAATCAGATATGCGGCCATGCTAACGTGGGAACGCTCAAATTACGAAGTCGCCACAGAGCAGCGACACATTAATTGCTCAGATGGAAAGTAGACGTAATGAGGAAAGACGATTAGCGTCACGAAGGTGTTCAGCAGGAGGAAGAGAAGGGGGCACTTGCAGGAAGTGAACGGAGGAAATCCTTCAGTCGATGGAAGCCACAGACGGCGCACCTGAGAGATTTGCACTAATAGATGAGGATTGGTGGAATTTTCGAGGAAGGTAAAAAGAAGTGGTCACGTCAGTTAGGTTTTCAAAAATGATATTGCATCAAGTACAGGTGAGACGAAGGATTACGGACTCAATTTTTGACTGAGTTTCGGGAAAATTCTTTTTTTTTTGCATTACCCCCGAACTTCAAGCAACAAGCAATTC